ACCGCTCTTGGGCCATGTGAAAGCCATGAAGATTCCAGTGTTGAGGTACAGGTTAAAAGGAAATGTTCTTGCTTCTCCAGGATGTATAATTTATTTGAAAGGACGACACATAAAATCACTATTAGTTTTTATTGTCATCCTGATAGTAAAACCAGCTCAATGCTCACAACAATGTTCAAAGGTGAGTTAGCATGTGAATTAAAATGAATTACTGGCAGCACACACTTTCCCTTTAACAGCAGGGCACTGTGCACTGCCTTGTTTGAGCAATCTCTTGCTTTTTACAGGTCAAAATGTTTAATGTCACATCCATTTTTTTCTTTAGAGCCATTTAAAACTGTTGAGTAGTAGATATGGCCCAATCCCTTTTCCACCAGAGCACAATGGAAACAGGAGAGGCACAGAGTTTTAGCAACATTGTCAAATAAACTGTCCTTTTAACAAGAAATTCACTGTGGGCTGTCTCCAAGACTCTTTAACATTCAACGTGCATGATACTGAGTTACACTCAGATCATATGGAAAAGGGGTATAAATAAGAATCCAGCCACACTGCCCACCTTGGCCTTCTTTTATACAACTTCAATTTGTTTTATTTCATTTTGTTGTTATGACATTTTTTTTTAATAGAGTTAATTCTTACCTCTTAAAGGAGCCCATTGTTAGTAACTTGTTCATCACAGCCCCTTCAACCTCCCCAAAAAAGAAACCCGTCTGTAAGGAGAAAAAACAAGGAATTAACAGAAGTGCAGATAAACACAAAACAACACTGAATGCAATTTAAACTGGCATATCCTAGGATCTGACAAGAGTGGCTTTGACAGTTACATAGATAGCTTTTCAGGCTACTGCTACATGAAAACTCAAGAGGACTTCACAGTCATGGCAAATTATAGGGATTACATTATTACCCCTGAGCAGATGTGGGAGCTTAAACAATATATTGAGGTACATTATATAACATCTAATATCAGAAATAAATGCCATCCCAACCTAAAGCTTGCAAAGAAAATGCACTAATCTGATCACAAACCCTTGTAATTAAAATGTTACTCAAAAATATATATAAACAGGTTGTGAGAGGATTTCGTAAGCAGCCACTAAAAAACATTGTTTATAATTCCTGCATGACCTGTTTAAGGAGCTGGAACAGTACATTTCATCAATCCTATAAATTTTAACTCTATTCAGAGTAATTTCATACTTCAAACCACTCAGCCTGATGAATTACTCATTTTGTCCTTGTTCAGTAGATGTGGACTAATAAAAATAAATCTCTGTTGAGAAAACAAACATTCATGTTATGAATTTGGTATGTAACGTGGAAGTGACTCTATCATCCACAGCCATTCATATGACAGTGGAAAATCTTGCATGTATAGCATTTTTCTAGTTTGAGAAGACATTTTTTATTTTAGAGCCTCAGCCCCCAGAAGGATTTGGTATGTTCCCTGCATTGTTTAAAGGGAGAAATCTCACAATTTATGGGGGGGAAAGGGCATTACACTCTCAAATTGCATGGATTCCATAGGTTTTGTATGAACTAAACCCCAATTCCATTACAAGGAACTTAGCTGACCTCAAGTATGCACCTGGGAGTTTGCAGGCAGAAAAGTTACAGCCCTAGCCAAAAAAAAAGGCATTCCTCCACCTAAAAAGTAAGTATTGCCTTTTTTTTTTTTTAATCAGGGGAAACTTGGAACATTTTCCAAAACATGTGGATGGGTAAAGTCTCCTAGAAACAAGAGGAACATTTGTAGCTTATATGACTAAAAATACTAGCTTCAATAGCCCTAGATGACTGATGAAGAAAGATTACCCTAACTATTGGAGAGGTAGTCAATGTCAAAAAGCCCAAGACATAAATGACAAGTATAACCTTAGATAGTAATAAAACTGATTTATCAAGCTGTGCTTCAGTCTTATAAAGACATTTCAGTGACAGTCCTCTCCACAAAAGCTCCATTTTTAAATGCCATTTCTCCCCCAATGAAGTAACACACAGATTATAATTATTTTTTAACACATTAGCATTTAGTTGCAATTCAGATAAAGAATTACACTGCATCCAAACAAGACTTTCAGAGCAATTGTGGTCATTTTTGGAAAGCCCATAGGAAAACAGTGCTGAAGCAACCCCAGAGAGGTGAGTAACTAATAATACATCAACCCACTTCCCTACTCCTTCTCTATCCACAAGAAACATAGGGTGCTCACATCATACACATCAAACCAAACACATACTATTGTAATTATAATAATCTTACTATAGTGTTATATAAACAGACAACTTTACTGTCCATCTTAGGCTGAGATCTATCATAATTAAAAAACTAGGTCATAACTCATTTCTAGCCTCATTCTGATCCAACAGTTGTCCACACTATATTCTTCATGGGAATACCTAATGGCTAGCATCAAATAACATACCAAAGGAATAATCTCTTTCTAATCATATTAATTGGTTGCAGCCAACTATCAACTAGCAAATCAGTTACAGAAATCACAATTAAGTACCTGTGAGTAACAGCAGAAACAACAGAGGGAATAATGAGACAAAAATCTTTTAAATGCATTAAGGTTATTTGACAATGAGTGTTTTTTTTAGATCATTGCTCAACTAAGTGGAAAATACAGATTTATGGTGATGGTTCCTTCATAAGGTTTGTAGGATTGAGGGATTATACTTCTTTCAATACTTTCCCATGAAATAAAATCAAATTAATGTTTTGAATTATCTTCTCATTAATCATGACCCTTGTCCTCCCTGTTGTGATGCTGTGTGCTTAGTTTTAATCCTTCAGTGGCTGTAATCCATCTCACAAAAAAAACTCCTTAGCTAATAGCTCTGTAAAATTTCATTATCTCAAGTTTGAATGTAAAAGCTGTGTGTCCCCAGTGTCCTCCCTCCCCAGATTTTCCATGTGGCAAAAATGCCACAGAGAATATTTTTATTTTTTTTTCCTTCTGGGGGTAAAAATGTCTTAACAGAAGACAGGCACTTCTGCAGCAGAACAGCCCTTTACAAGAACACTTATGAGTTTACAAGCAGACCGTGTCCCAGTGGGAGACAGAAACAGCTCCTGTGAGAAAAAAAAAAAACTTACATTCTTTGTTGAATTTCCTTTTTTTTTTTTTTTTACTTTTATGTTTGTAATTCCTCAACATTTTCAGATATCGGCCTATTTTAAAAAAAAAGTAACAAGTCATTTTACCTTAATGTGTTACAGAAAACTGAACAAAAATCATGTACCTGTCTATAGTCTTCAGACACTAAAATAAATCCATTGTTATCTATCAGGTAACAGTTGATTGCCTGAAAAATAATATATTTTAGTGTTTTTTTATTTTAGGATACAACAATAAGTTAATTGTTTTAATTCCAAGTGAATTCTACATAGGTAGACTTCAGGCTGTTATAATGGCTTACATAACTGTACAGTGAATGCAGTTTCAACCTACAGGATGTTACCTGACTTGATGTTTATGCATTCATTTCATGCAAAGCAAAATGAAGGATATAAGATAATTATAAACAAACATGCAAAGAACAAGACCAGTGTTTTTATAATCCATTCTTTAAAGTTTCCCTTATAAAGAAGTTTGCAAAGGCATAGAACTTTGCTGCTCCTGATGGCTTCTCCTGTGTTGGGAGAAAAACATCAGCACATTGTCATTACTCTAATGATGTATTAATGAAAACACAGTGTCAGCCTGGAGGACTAACAAGGGACCAGGTAATATTTTTTAATTTGTTCATTGGGGGATGGGACCAGAAACTTCTGTAAAAGAGGCCCCACAGGTCTCCTAAACCTTTTCAAATTGTTTTTAATTGGGAACTGGATTTAGAGGTAGGACTGTTAGCTTTTCGTAGGTCAGACGTATAAATTGTATAAAACAAGCTAAACCCAAATCAGTGCTTCCCTCCATACATGCCTCAAGTGAATTACTTGCTACAGGCAAAGTTTTAATTACTGGGCTTCAGACTTTAAACATAAGGTTCAACTCAAACCTTGATATAACTTTCTTTTCAATACTGCCAAATACCTACCTCAGCATTAAATTTTTAATGTATTTCTATTGTTGGTCTAAATCAGCAAACATTTCATCATTTCTTTAATTTTCTGTGACATTTTTGTAAAAAAATAAATAAATAAAATTTTAAAATAAGATGGCTTCTAATATAGCAATCATCATGGCTTTGCTTTTAATTCAAAACCTTTCCTATTGCAAATGAGCTGCAGAGTGACATGACAAAATACCTTTTCTGCTAGAATCTGCACATCCAGCAAAATCTCTGTGCTGTTCTAGAGAGGAAAGCTGTTCCATGCAGTAGCAGTTGTGCAAGACATTGTGAAAACATGGTCTGATTATTTAAGAGATGCTTAAATGTGTCTGATTCTCATTTTGACCACATATTTATTCTTTTCCATGAGGCTGAAGAAGAGGAGAGATTTGCAGAAATGCTGGCTTGAAGATTAGGTTTTTAAAACAAAAAACCCAGAATCAGGCAAAAGTTTCCATCATTCCCTAATGTAAATGCAGGATACTCATTCTAATAGGGGAACCTAAGCTCCAGACACCTCAAGTGATAGAAAATCTGTCAAAAAGGAAGTTAAAACAACTCATTTCCAACCTCTGATCTGCTACAAAGCCAAAAACTGGCAAATGTAATGTGAAAAGCTGATGATGCTGGCAAAGGATCAAATGGAGCTAATGCATTCAGAAGAGGAAGCTACTTAACCTCAATGGTGTATGAAGGGTGGGATTTCAGAAGTAAATTGTAACCCCAGAACACTGCTATCCCCAATGTCAACCATAAACCTCCCACTAACTTTATTAGTAGAGGAGCTAAGTCCACAAAGGAGCTCTTTTGAGGGTACATATTTGCAGTCCTCATGCATGAAAGTTTAATATAAAGATAATACTTTATGAACAATATTTCTCCACCATATAGAAAATAAGAAGTAGTTATGAATTACAAGTGTAGTCTTAATTGCCTAATTTGTGGATTACATGCAGTTGGAAAACACTGGCTCCATTCAAGAATTAGTGGCCATGTCTCAAATTGCTAAGCCATAGTCATTCTCCAGCACTGTTCAGAATTTAAGAAAATACTAATGTTGTAGCATTATTATTAGTGGAAACAGACAAAAGGCAGTAAGTGGAATCTGTATCTTTTTGGAGGAATGTGAAACAATAGAGTTTCTATTTCAATCCATTTCAGAAACATTAACGGGGAAAATATTCATTCAGGACCATTCATTCACCTGCTTGCCAGCAAGAAAAATGACTTCCAATATTCAGTACTGCATTTAAAAACAGTGTGTAACTTAGATTTAGCATTGACAAAGGACAGTGGGGTGCGTTTTCTTGTCCAATCTATTACCAAATCTCAAACAGAATATTTCAGATACAAGATTAATGCAAGGGATAAGGCATTTGCATGGACTGCAGTTGTACAAAAGAGGCTTAATTCACAAAGGTTCACAGGTATTGGAAGTGAACTATGCACAGGTTTGCTCAAAGGTTCAAGTTCAGTGAACTTTAGATTTCAAGGGGAATGTTCCATAGGTGGAGAGTCCCTGAGCTTGTAAAATAGAGTAGGCATGAAGTCCAGAATAAACACAGCAAGAATGTCGACTGAGGTCTGAGAACACATTTGAATTACAGTAACTTTGATCAAGTTCGAGTCCTCTATGTATTTTCAGAGCTCCAATATACAGTAACAGTAATGGAATGTAATATGGTTTAAGAAACCAAAAACAAAAAAGAAAGAAAACAGACTATTAAAGAAAATCTGAGGCATCAGGAAAGCAAGAAGAAATTAGCAAATTCAAAGCTCTCTCTCAAAAAAAAATCTAATTAGTTGGATGTCTGTATTTTATAATTTAATTGTGCCACTCTATTTGCATTAAAGTCTTAATAC